AAATCAGGTCACAAACTGTGGTTGGCCATGTGGGAGTGTTCACCTTAGTGAACCACATGGTGATTAGTGTTCAGCCTTAACCACCATGCTACCTGCTGGTCCCCCACTTAACTTTTTAAAAACTATTATATTTTTAATGTTTTTTCAACTTTATGAGAAAGGGGGAAAGAGAGAGAGAGGGAAAGAAAATGAGAGAGAGAGAAGTGTTTTGGGCAAGGTCTTAGGCTCCCAATTAGCCAGGATAACAAGCATGTCACCATGCTAGGTATGCAATTTTTTTTTTTTTAATTTTTAAGAGCTCTCTTTTTGTTTCCTAAATACTATCTTTTTGTAGCTTTCCTGTCCCTTTTCCATAGATACATTTTTGGGGGAGGTTTTTGCTACAGGGCGTGTGCACTAACCAGAAGGACAGAGAGAGACAGAGAGACAGAAAGCAAGAACTCACCCCCAAGGGGGGATGGCCATGCTACAATCCCTTCTCCTCCATTTTCCTCTCGGGATCTTGGGCACACATGCACATGTGCCTGGTGTGAGTTTAAGTCACGCGGTCCAGGACTCAAATCATGGTTGACTACATGGGAGTCCAGTGACATAGCCATGATGCCATCTGCTGGTCCCCATAGATAAATTTTTTAAACAATTTAGAATTATTTAATTTTATTTATGTATTCTTCTTCTTCAATTTGACCAGAGAGACAGAGAGAGGGCGAGAGGATAAGTGAGGAAGCAAGCTGCCAGGCCCAGAACTCGAACCAGGGTTGACCATTTAGGAGTCCAGCACTTCAACCTCCATGCCACCTGCTGGTCCATTTTTAAAAGAATTATTTTATTTAAATTTATTTATTTATTTATTGAGAGGTTTTGTTTGTTTGTTTGCTTATAGGGCACATACATTCATCAGACAGAGAGAGAGCGAGAAATCATGCCTCAATCCCTTCTCCTCCGTTCTACTCATGGGATCTTGGGCACACATGCACATGCACCCAGCATGAAGCACACATGCACATGCACCCAGCGTGAATTTAAGCTACTGGGTCTGGGACTCAGTCCAGCGACATAGCTATTACTCCAACTGCTGGTCCCCCAAGAACTCACCCCCTATGGGGGATGGCCATGCTGCAATCCCTTCTCTCCATTCTCTTCTCAGGATCTTGGGCATGCACACACACGCGCCCCGCGTGAGTTTAAGCCACCGGGTCCGGGACTCGAACTGCGGTCGACTACATGGGAGTCCAGCAACATAGCCATTACGCTAACCACTGGCCCCAAAAGAGAAACTCTTAACGTGAGTAATAACAAACCTCATCTACACCCTCCTCTCGGAGCTCCAGACGTGTTACCAGGTCACCTGGAAATGACTCTTCTGTCCACTAGAGGGAAACCCAGGTTAGCGAGATGGAGAATACTGAGCCTAGGCACCCTGAGTCTGGAGTGAGCAGGGGCTGACATCCGAGGACCTGAGCACCAAGGACAGTGTTGTACTGCAGTCAGTTGGGATGGGCTTGGCAAGCCCACTGCTGTGTTTTCAGGAATGGAGACAGCGAGTCGTTAGATTCGGTCATTTTAAAAAATTAGGCCATCCAGTGGTTAAGACAGCTGGATCCACACTGCTGACTGTGTGGTTACAGCCCTGGACCCAGTGGCTTGAGAAACATGCCAGGCATGTGTGTATGCATGCATGTGTGCCCAAAATCCCCAGAAGAGGGAGAGCTGGAGGCGAAGGGCGTTGTGACGTGATCATGCCCCACGGGGGGTGCTTTCTCACTTTCCCTCTGACTGACTCTGACAAGTATACACGCCCTCTGGTGAAAAAAATTGTTTTTTAAAGTTCTTTTTCAAACCAAGGGGCTTTATTACTGAATAAACTGACCGATGCAGAACATAGACATAAAGTGAAACTCATTTTTCTAATAAAACCTGCCCAACTGTCCAGACAGTGGTGACAATTTTCAGCTTGGTGTGATAAGATAATAGTGGCCCTAATACCACTATATACCTAATATGTGCCATCTCTTGTCCAAGTCTTTATAGTCCAGCGTGGTTCTTCTCTAGTGTCTCCTCTTAAAATCATACCTTGGGACCAGCAGATAGTGTAATGGTTACATTGCTAGACTCCCATGTAGTCGACTGCAGTTCGAGTCCTGGACCAGGTGGCTTAAACTCACGCTGGGTGCATATGTGTGCGTGCCCAAGATCCCGAGAGGAGAATGGAGGAGAAGGGGTTGTGGTGTGGCCATCCCCCCGGGGGGGTGATTCCTCACTTTCCATCTCTTTCTGGTGAGCACACATGCCTTATAGGAAAAAAAAAAAAAAACTCCAAAAAAAAAAAAAAACGATTTTATTACCCAATTTCATACTAAATTTTATTACCCAATTTCATTATAAGTTACTGGCAAAAGGGATGATTTTGCTTCTGCTTTTTGGTCAGAAATTGCTTGATTCTGAAAGTCTTACGGGAAGACATAGCAAGAGATGGATTCACCCACACACCTCACAATGATGGAGAGAGGAAGAGAGGTGGTCATTAAAAATGGAATGAGTGGGACCAGGAGATGGTGTAATGGTTATGTCGCTGGCTCACATGGCTGACCGTGGTTCAAGTCCTGGACCCCACGGCTTGTGGCATGACCATCCTCTCTGGGAGTTCTATCTCTCTGGCTCTCCAGCAAGTTGCACGTGCTCTATAGCAAAAATCTCAAAAAAAAAAAAAAGTTAAATGATGTAGGAACTGGTTCCATAGCACAGATTAAGCATGGCACTGAGGAAGCTGGATCCCGTGTGACCAACAAGGGTTTGAGTCAGACTCAGCCCCTGCAGCATGAAATCATGCCAGGTACACCCAGAATCCTGACAAGATGGAGAATTGGAGGAGTAAGGATTGGGGTGCAAGCAGGCCCTGTTAGGGGGTGCTGTCTTTCTCTCATGCACCCTCTGGCATAAGAAAAAAAAAGTGACACGTGGGCTAGATGGTGACACAGCACAAAAATCTGGTACTCTGCAAGGCTGATCTATGTGGGAAGGTTCTCAGTTCACTCCTGGAGCCCTCCCTGGATACTCCCAGGGTGTGTAATACCCCGATCCAACACTGGTTGGGGCTAGGGATGGATTTTGGTGTCAAGACCCTGTTGAAAAAAAAAAAAAAAAAAAGACCCTGTTGAGGGGTGCTGTTTCTTTCTCACTCACGGGAAAAACACTTTGAGGGACCAGCAGATGGCGTAATGGTTATGCTGTTGAATTCCCAAAAGGCTGCCGGCAATTTGCATCCTGGATCTGGTGGCTTGAAACTCACACCAGGTGCATGTGCGTGCGTACTCAAAATCCTGAGAGGAGAGTGGGGGAGAAGAAATTGTGGAGTGGCCACCCGCCCCCCGGACAGGATTTCTCATTTTCTGTCACTCTGTCTCTGTCTCTCCAGCATGTGCCCTATAGCAAAAATCTCTCTTTAAAAAACAAACCAAAAAAACCTTTGATTTAAACTATATGGAACACTAAGCACAGATTCCAAACTCATCATTCCCTAATTATTTTACTGTATTCTACAATTATCTATCATTGCGTGTGTTAGGGTGGAAATACTATCTAATGGTGTGTTACTGTCTGACTCCAACTCTGGCAGCTTGAAACGGGCCATGGCAGAATATATTTTACTCCGTGGAAACCCACGAATGATACAAGTCAGGGTTCCCGACCTGCCACCCCTCCCACCCCGGGGTGTTAAACATTTACCAGGACATCACTTTCCTGCATCAGGAGGGGAGGAGGTGGGCTGTTGCGGAAGTCTTGCCTACCCAGACATACCCAGAGGAGTCCCTGTGGAAGGAGCACCATTTGGGCAGGCTGAGGCTGATGGGAGGGGTGCCATAGCCAGGGGGATTGTGATGTGGCAGGAGCCCGGCCTGGAGGTGCTCAACCGTCTCAGGTTTTTGATCTCAGGTTTTCTGCTGGCCGTCGCCTGGGCCTGATTCTATCTGCTCGTGCTCAGGCATGCTGTCCCGTGTGCCTAGGGAGGAAACGAGTTTCTGCATTGTCCAGCACTAACAAGGTTCCCCCATCAGAAACGGGGCTTCCTGAGGGCCAGGGAAGCATCCACCTGACCCAGGCCTTGCTCAAGTCCCTGGCCTAAGTAGTGGAGCAGCCACACAGAACACTGCAGGAATGACGCCAGCCAGCCATTTGTGGGCGGTGCCACCTGCTGGCTGTAGAACCTGAGCGCTCAGCAGTCACCTGTCTCACCGTCAGTCTCCAAACTTGTCAAACAAGAAGGCCAACCGTCATGCGTGGCTGTGGTGCGGTTGACGTGACATCGACTCTGCCAGGCCCTCTGCTGACCGTCCATCCCTGGAAGGTGTTCCATGATGTGGCCGCTGTTACTGTCATACTTCTGGGGGTGGATGAGTGGGTGGGTCGGAATGTAAACTGGCTCTGAGCCCCTGACTAATCTGACACCCTGTGTATCGAGGAGGGAGGTAGGAAGCGGGAGGAGGGGCGGGAAGGACCAAGAGGTCACAAATTCACCACGAAGGGGTGGCATATGTGCCCCAGTCACACAGCCAAGAAGCGGGCCGGGGCACTGGACACCAGCGCTCCTGCCAGGACTCGTTCACAGGCTTCGTGCGGGCAAAGGGGCACTCTTCCCCGACTCCACCCCATCTCTGCCAAGGGCTCCAGGGTCGGGAGGGCGGGCAGCCGGACGTCGCAGGCCCGGGGCTGAGCGCAGGAAGCCGGCCGGGGCTGCTCTGCAGCCTCAAAGCGGCGGAAGGGAGGGAGCAGCCGGCACCTGCATTGTGCGAGCCCCGCTCCCCGCTGTGCGGCCCCGGATCCCGGTGCGGGCTCTTGGCGACGCTGCTGGGGCGGAGCCGGCGGCTTTCAGGCAGGTATTAACTCGATAGAAAAGACTAGATCTGCACTTTCATTCACTTATTCCTGCGTTCTCTCCTCGTGCACCCATCTGCAGCGCACACAAACATGGTCCATGAGCCCACATCTTCGTGAGTCATGGCTGGGCAGTCCTGGCTTCTGCACTGACTGTGTGACTTGGACAAATGACTTAACATCTTTGGGCCTCAGCTGGTGGAGTGCTGGATTAAATAAATGGAGGTAAAGGGGCCAAAGGTAGCGGTGGGTGAGGCGGATGGATCTCACGTGGCCTACAGCTTGGTTCGAATCCCAAGGGGGGTGGTTTGAAAACACCTGGGCGGGTGTGTATGAGTGCCCCAAATCCCAAGGGAATGGGAGAGAAGGACTAGCAGGGGCTGGGAGGTGCTTTCTTTTTTTCTCCCTCTCCTCCAACAAGCACAAGCCCTTAGAGGGAAGAAAAAAGAAAAAAAAAAACTTATATAAAAAAATAAATAGAAGTAGCTCCACTCCTTGGCAGACTGTTGGATTAAATGAATTCTGTGTGTGGGGCCAGCAGGTGGCGTGGTGGTTAAGGGCACTGGACTCTACATGGCTGACTGCAGTTCTAGTACAGGACCTGGCACTTGCTTTCTCACTTTCTCGCTCTCTCTCACTCTGTCCCTCTCTGGTCAAATTTAAATAAATAAATAAAGTTAAATAAAATAGTTATTTAAAAAAATTCTGTGTGAAGCACTTGGAACCATGCCTGCAACTAATAAGCATTTATTAAATGTAGAATAGTTTTTTTAAAAGAATTGTAATAGGGACCAGCAGATGGCATGATGACTACATCCCTGGACTCCCATGCAGTTGACCACAGTTTGAATCCTGGACCTGGTGGCTTAAAACTCAAGCTGGGCGTGTGTGCGTGTGTGCCCCAAATCCTAAGAGCAGAATGGAGAAGGGATTGTGGTGTGGCCATTTCCCTGGGGGCGATTTTTCACTTTCTTTCTCTCTCTGTCTCACAGGAAAGCGCACACACCCTATAGCAAACATCTCTCTTTAAAATAATCATCTTTTTAAAAATTTGTATTTATTTTTATTTCAGGAATGGAGAATGGACTAGAGGAGCCAATGTTGCAAACCGGAGGCTTTTAAAGATTTAAAAAAAGTGATCACTGGGGCCAGCAGGTGGTGTGGTAGTTAAGGTACTGGACTCCCACATGGCCGGCCATGGTTTGAGTCCCGGACATAGCTACTTGCCTCCTCCTCACTCTCCTTCCCTCTCTCTGTCTCTCTCTGGTCAAATTGAAGAATAATAATAAATAAATTAGATTAAATTAAATAATTCTTAAAATTTTAAAAATTGATCAGTAATATTTAAAAGTTGTGAAATTTCACCTAAAACTCAGATTTTGGCTTCTTTTAAAAAGATTGACAATTGAGAAGCTTATATTTTATAAGGTGCTGTTGGGTGTTGTATTAGAGACTGATTCCTTTTTTTATTATGTATTTTCGTATGTCTTTTGCAAAGTGATGTTAATTGTACAAGAAAAAAAAAAAGACAAAAACTTTTGAGCAATTCTCCAGTTGCAAGTATCTGAAAGGCAAGTTTCTTTTGAAAGGCTGGTCTTTTACTTAGTTGTGCTTCTTGATTGTCTGATTTTTAAAAAAGAATTATTTTATTTATCATTATTATTATTTTTTAATTTGAGAGAGGGGAAAGTAAGAAAGCAAGCTGCCAGGTCCAGGACTTGAACTGCGGTCAGCCATGTGGAATTCCAGTGCCTTAACCACCACATCACCTGCTGGCCCCCATTGCCTGATTTTTTTTTTTTTTTTTTTAGGGGGGTTTTCTTTAAGGGGGCCTCGCGCACCCAG